CACCAAGCCTATCAGGAAATAAATACTTCCTAACGTTTATTGATGACTACTCTAAGAAGGTATGGATATATTTCCTAAAGACAAAGGATGAAGCTTACCAGAAGTTTGTTGACTGGAAAACGTTGGCTGAGAATCAGACTGAGAAGAAACTGAAATGTTTAAGGACAGATAATGGGTTAGAGTTCTGCAACAATCAGTTTGATAATCTGTGCAGAGAGTCAGGGATCAAGCGACACAAAACATGTCCCTACACGCCTCAGCAGAATGGGATATCTGAGAGAATGAATCGTACTATCATGGATAAGGTCAGAAGCATGTTAAGTGAAACAGGTTTGGGTGGAGAGTTCTGGGCAGAAGCAGCACACACGGCCGTCTACATTATCAACAGATCTCCGTCAGCATCTATTGATTTTGAGGTACCAGAGGCTTTATGGACTGGTGGTAAACCTGAGTATGGGCATCTAAGGAGATTCGGTTGCTTAGCTTATGTTCATACTATTGCTGATAAAATCAGTCCTAGAGCTACGAAGGGAATATTTGTGGGTTATGCACAAGGAACAAAAGGCTACAGAGTATGGCTTTTAGATGAGCAGAAGGTTACTATCAGCAAAGATGTGATTTTTCATGAGGAGAAATTGTTCAAAGATAAAGATTCAGAGATGAACAACTCTACGCAGATTGAGGTGACTAAGACTAAAAGGAAGAAGGTTACCTTCAAAGAAGACTTAGTAGAGGTGGAGTCTACTCAGGTAACACAAGGAGAGTCCTCTAGTCAGGGTGGAGCGGTTTCAGAATCTGAGTCAGAGCAAGAGGAAAGTGTGAGCTCTTCAGACGAGGATCAAGACACTAATGAAGATGACCAAGAGGAGAGTCCTTTGCCTATAAACCGATATGGAAGAAAACTTAAGAAGCCAGCAAGGTACAGAGAAGGGAACCTGGTCGCATATGCTCTTGCTAGTGCAGAGGCGATCAGTCTTGATGAGCCAAAATCGTATGATGAGGCTCGGAGAAGGAAAGACTGGAACAAATGGGATGGTGCAACTCACGAGGAGATGGATTCGTTGCATAAGAATCATACGTGGGACCTGACAGATAAACCAAAGGATCAGAAAGTTATCGGATGTAAATAGATTTTCAAACTAAAACCGGGAATTCCAGGGGTTGAACAGCCTAGATACAAAGCTAGATTGGTTGCAAAGGGTTATGCTCAAGTTGAGGGAGTTGACTACAATGAGGTTTTTGCACCAGTGGTAAAGCATGTTTCTATACGTCTGTTGTTATCAGCTGTGGTTGATCAGGATATGGAGTTAGAGCAGTTGGATGTCAAAACTGCATTTCTACATGGTATTCTACATGAAAGAATCTACATGAGTCAACCAGAGGGTTTTGTGCAGAAAGGACAAGAAAACAAAGTGTGTTTATTGAAGAAATCTTTATACGGTTTAAAACAATCTCCAAGGGAATGGAATCACAGGTTTGATACATTAATGATTCAGCAAAAGTACAGAAGAAGTGGGTTTGATCCGTGTGTGTATCTCAAGGGCTCAAACATTGAAAACATGATATATCTTCTACTGTATGTTGATGATATGTTGGTGGCTTCTAAGAACAAGAAAGAGGTCAAGAGGTTAAAGGAGCTACTGAGTACAGAATTTGAGATGAAAGATTTGGGAGCAGCCAGAAGGATTCTAGGGATGGATATCTACAGAGACAGAGTAAAGGGAACTCTAATCCTATCTCAGCAATCGTATTTACATCAGGTTTTGAAAACATTTGGGATGTGGGATTGCAGAGAGGTTCAAACGCCTATGGGTTCTCACTTCAAGCTACAAGCGTTAAGTGACAAACAAGAGCAGGAACAGGCAGAAGAGATGGAGCAAATACCTTATGCCAGTGCAGTAGGGAGCTTAATGTATGCAATGGTTGGCTCCAGGCCAGACCTTGCTTATGCCGTCGGTATGGTGAGCAGATACATGGGGAAACCTGGAAAAGATCACTGGTTAGCAGTTCAATGGATAATGAGATATCTAAAGGGAGCTTCAGGAACGAATTTGACCTTCTCAAAGGGTTCAGACTTCAAGGTTAGAGGTTATTGTGACTCAGACTTCGCCACTGACTTGGATCGGAGGAGATCCATTACTGGTTTTGTATTCACGGTTGGAGGCAACACAGTGAGCTGGAGATCCTGCTTGCAGAAAGTTGTCGCCTTATCTACAACAGAAGCAGAATACATAGCTCTATCAAAAGCAAGCAGAGAGGCAGTGTGGTTAAAAGGAATTTGTGAAGATATGGGCTTCAAACAGGAAGCCGTGGAGATTCACTGTGACTCTCAAAGTGCTATCTATCTAGCAAAGAACAACATGTTCCATGAGAGGACTAAGCACATACAAACGAAGTACAACTACATCAGAGAAGTAATTGCAGAAGGTGAAGTGAAAGTTCTAAAGATCCACACTTCTGTGAATCCTGCGGACATGTTAACAAAACCGTTACCTGGAGAGAAATTCGGCAGATGCTTACAGACGCTGAAGGTGCTTGAAGCTTAAAGGCTTCGGCGAGGGTCGTCATCGCCGGTGATTGAGGAAGGTGATGGACCCAAAAGGCTGTTGTTGCAGGTTTGCTTAGCATCAGGAGTTTCTTCTAGGACTTGAAGAGACAAAGATAAAGGAAGCTTTCTGGTGAAAAAAAAGGAAGCTTAGGAAAGGCGATCTCGGTGAAGAGAGGTGAACACCAATACCAGGATTGGAATCAATAGTCGGTGTCGGGAATCAGACAGTCGACGGGAATTAGGTTCAAGGTGGAGATTTGTGGACTTTGAATCCTAATTCAATTACTAAAGCAAGGTGGGCTTTGTTGTTAGACAAGCCCAAAAGGAGATCAGGTGAAAGGAAGAGAAGCATTTGGGCCTTATTGATTTGCTGCAGGCCCAACCGTATAGTACAGGATAAGAAGGAGAGAGAAACGAACGTAACAAACTAATTCGTCATCTTCTTTGTTTCTTCTGATTCCTCCATTATTGTATCTCTGAGAAATCACTCTGTAACTCGAACAAAGCTCTTAGTGGATTCCAGGATCAATCCTGAAGAGAGATGTACCTGGTTTGGGGAACTCTATAAACTTGCGTCTTCATCTTCCTCTTCTTTCTATTTTCTGTTAAACACAAGGAGAGAAATCGAGTGAGTTAAGAGAGAGATTCAAGGTGTTGAATCAACGATCGATTGCGAGAGTATCGGCAACACAATTATTTATTTGTGTTTAATTTGCATTTTTTGTTGAAGCATTTATGCTACAAGTATTTTGCTACAACAGAAGTATTTAATTAAAGATTAATAACAAAAAATTTTATTACATGTGTCTTGATGCAAGATTGATGGTATTAAAGTTTCTTTAATTAAGCTGCATATATTTTTGCTATAAGATTTTTTTTTTTTAAGAGATCACTTTGTCCTCAAAGCCCTTGGACTACTCCAGTCTAGAAAAACTTTGGGTTGATGTGACACCACATTCACACATAAGCTACAATATATCATATTCTCTCCTAGGTTCAAGTAAGAATTAATTGGTTTGGATAGAAGAACTAATGCAATGGCCATGATCACTTCATGAATAGATATGAGAAGAATATGATATATTGTAGCTTATGTGAGGAAGAGTCCAATCAATCCTAAATCAAGCCTAAATTTGTAAACTCAGTGTATTTTTGTATCATTGTAAAAAAGAAGAAGTTATATTAATAATATGCTAAATAAAACAGATTTGAGATAACCTTCACAACTATATACGATACTGAATCTTCAAATACTCAAAGTTAATGTATATCATTATTTTTATATTTTATTTATTTTTTATTTTCTGACAACACATTATAATTTAACGTTTTATGTTTGCTATTTTTTATATTGAATGTTAATACTAATTTATATTATTTTTCATCTTTTTAATTATCGATGCCCGTCACACACTCGTAAATTTCCACCTTGAATCTTGAAATAGTCACAGCTAATGTATATCATTATTTTTTTAATATTATATTTTGTTGATTTTTTTATTTTCTAACAACACATTATAATTTTTTTTTGTTTGCTATTTTTTTATATTGGATGTTAATATTAATTATTATTATTTTCCATCTTCATAATTGCTAATTTCGATTACACACTCGTAAATTTATGCTTTAAATCTTGAAATACTTAGAGCTAATATATATTATTATTTCTTTTATAGTATTTTGTTGATCTTTTATTTTTTTGCAACACATTATAATTGTGTTTTTCTGTTTGTTATTTTTTACATTGAATGTTAATGTTAATTTTTATTGTTTTCCATCTTTCTAATTACCAATTCCTATCACACTCATAAATTTCCACCTTGAATCTTGAAATATTCAAAGCTAATGTATATAATTATTTTTGGTTTTATTTTATTTTATTTTCTGTTAGTATCTATAATTGTCTTTTTTATTTTTTTTTATTTTTATATTGAATGTTAATGTTATTTTATGTTTTAAAAGAATTTAAATGAAAAGCAATTAATGATGTAGTTACTGAGGTGGCAACACCAGAAGAGAAAAAAACTTACTTTATATATATATAGATATGTATAATCTACCATTTTTTTTACCAATATGAAATCGATATACACAGTTGTTGACACAAAACAAGCCAAAATTAGATTTTATCGTTAGACTTGTGTGAAAACAAGCCAAAAGACTCATTCTTGGAAACTATCTTGATGGTTTGGAACGAATTTGTTGGTTCTACGTGTTAGTGCTAAATCATAACTGATTTGTGCTATATGTAATAACCGCACCAATTACAAAAAAAAATTATGATGCAAACAAGTTATTCATTCATAACTCATAAAATAGTAGACTGATGATGTAACACCTGTCAAAATCTTACATGATTCTGAACCCTTTATATCTCTAGTTCTGGTGGTGTAGTCTCTAAGTTGTAATGATAAATAACCAGGAAGATCTTGCTGATGATTTCGTTTTTCTCCTACCTTAAATCCCGAGCATTCCACACCATGAGAGAATCAGTCTTTCTAAGACCGTAAGGGTTTAAACCGCTTAAAGCCTTCCCCATGAGTGCCATGGCTGCAATACTCGGATACTGTTTCTTCTCCAACTCCTTTTGGTTCTCTGGCTCAAAGCTACCTTCGTGTCCCCCTCCTGGCTGATTTGTCGATGTATCTTTCTTCTTGCACCATCTCTGTATCCATGGATGTGAAAGCGTAATGTCTTCTTCACCTCCCTGGTTCAGATTCTTGATTTGAGAAGTGGCTGCGGCGGGTTGTTCTTGATGGTTTTTTGGTTGGAGATTGTTGATTCCTGATTTCAAGATTTCAAGAAACAGGTTGTTGTTGTTCCCCTTTTGTCCCTGCGATGCTTCTTCTATCTCCATCAAGCTCTTGGTTTCATCTGAGGCGTTTGTCTTCAGACGCTTGACCCATCTACTGGAACCAGGTTCCAGTTCTGGCTCCAGCCGCACGCGTTTGCACTCTCTCGAAAGAAACTGGTCCACGTTCATACTTTGTGTAGCCGAGTTGCTTGTTTCTCCCTGATGCCCTTCTTCTATCGAGTTCTCTCTATCAAGAACCAGAGGAGGTTCTTCATTCATGTCAGGTATTTCAGCTCTCTGAATGCATGAATCTCCTTTTCTTCCTTTCCCCTGCAAAATTCTCAAGAACTTTCACAAACCACACGCTTTTGAGAAGAGAAGAAGACAGAGTTAGATTCTACAATACCTTAGTTGAAGATGAGGAAATAGAGTCTGCCAAGAAACAATGAGAATCAGAAAAAAAAAAAGTACGAGAATAGACAGAAACGATGTATCTTTAAAGTTCGCAATGTACCAGAACGATGTATAGTCTGAAGTCTATCAATCTCCATGACATCAGTCTCTGCCGATGATTCGTTTTTCTTCGGTCCATCCTCTGAGCTTTCTAGAGATTGCAGCTTTACTCCTCCTTTATGTTGATGACCTTTATTAGGAAACAGATCAAGATAACCACCAAAGATCTTCCCTTTCAGTTTCATTGAAACCGTGGAACCGTTCTTCAAGACCTGATGACCACCATCTTCCTCGGGCAAGCTAACCGAATCAACAGTTGCGTAAAACCTCACCGGTCTTATCAACTCTAGCAGGTTCTGTGTAGTCTTTTCTTGAATTGGGAAATCAAGATGGCTATTAGAACTGACTCCAGCATTATCTCCTTGAACATACATCCAAGGCAATCTATTAGCCATAGCTTTCGAGCTTGAACCCACATCATCTCTAGTGATGTCTCTCTTCTGAGACACTTTGAACATACGAAATGGCAAGACCTCGACTCCTTCTTCTTTACCAGATTTTCTTTTTTGATTCTCTTTTACATTATCTTCAGGCCTAATCAAGTCCTTCTTGGACTCACCATTGTTCTGATCATGAAAGTTCTTCACTTCATTACCTAACTGAGTCCAACGACCTAACCAAGCAGATTCATAACCTTGGACTGAAGATGTCTTGCTGATTCCTTTGTTTACTTTACCCAAAACCATAACTTGTTCCGACATTGTAACTATAGATGTTATCTGGAATCAAATCACCTGAAAGTCAAATCCTGTTTTATTCAATTACAATGGATAATCCAAACACACAAAAGAAGAAATGGACTAAACAAAGGCTCATCTTTTTCACATCAAGATTCCAGATTTCACCCAAAATTCAACATTTTGATACTAATTACTGATATCTCAACAATATCGTAACAAAATTTCACACTAATCTCAAAACTGAATGTACAAGAAGCCCACAGACACAAACAAAGGTCTAAATCACATTGTGTTTCGATCAATTCTCCAAGAAAACAAGCGATTTATCTCGAACTTCACTTACAGACAAGACATATAAATCGATGCAAGCGACGGAGCAGCTTTATCATCAGAAATAAAACACAGTCTCACCAACAACAAAAAAAAACGAAAACTTAGAGAGATTTGAGATGGAGATTACTTACCAGAGACGCGAAGACGTGGAGAGACACTGTCCAAAGAACGAAGATAAATAAGATGAAGTTCGATTTATTCTTATTTTCTTATGAGCAATTTTTTATTCTCCCCAAAAGACCAAAACTTATCAGTGTCTTCTTCTTCTTCTTGATGAAAGAAAAGGGAAAAAGGAACATTCAGAAGAAAACGAGTGAGAAGGCGAGAATCACCAATCCATTTGTACAAGAAGGTAGGTGTTAAAAAGAAAAAAAGAAGGTAGGTGTTAAAAAGAAACCTCGTATTTCGTATAAGCATCAACGAGTAACAATTATTTTCGAATTCATTATTAGATTCAAAAAATACTTTAATTGAAAAAATGACGTGTTCCTTTTCCTGCCATGTCTAAAATGCAAATGGGCACGATAATATCAGTGTCATCAGAACATTTAACTGTACATATATCTATATATTATTTTGTTATATGTGTCACGTTGTAAATATCTTTCTCAATAAATGTGTTCGTATGTTGACAAAAAGAATAGTTTTTTTTTATATATCAAATTTTGTGTTTTGCAAAACAAATCAAACTGTTATATGCAAAAGTATAATTTATCTTATAGAAAAATAATAAAGACGAAAATTTTATATCTATGAAAAAAGAATACTGATAACAAAATAAATGAGATACTTTTACTGTTTTTTATATTATAAATTATATTTTATATTGAGCATTTTCCTTCATTTATATAAAAAAATAAGAAAAATTTATTGTATGTGCATAGTTAAATATGTTCTACAATAATTCATTATATTTTATTATCTTTTTATTGTTACTTTTATTTAATTTTTATAATATTATTTATTAAATATTACTGTTATTATAACTTTTTTAATGTGTTGTTTTATTAAAAAAAGTTTAGAAAAATTTAATGAAAAAAATCATAACAACATAAAAAAATATAATCATAGTTTTCTTTCAAATAAGCAGGATATTATATTATAAATTTTTTCGCTAACGCATTTTGAAATTACGGACATGTTTTTTTAACAGAATGATGAGCAATAATTTTGTGAAGAAATCGGCTGTATTATCACATAATCAGACATATTTTACTTTAATTTTAATTTTTGTATTTTTCACAAGCTCTTAGATGTATGAAAAGAATTATGGAGAGATATGTTGGGCTCTATCACTTTTGATGTATCCTTCTTTTATTTGAGCAACACATACATCGTTGTCTTCATACAAGATTGTTGGATTCGTATTAATGCAAATTCCACTGCTTGATCGGCTGTGTCGGGCATATTGATCTTAACCATACACATTCCCTATTTGTTTCATGAAGTGTGATGATCTCAGCATGATTCGAAGAAGTGGCCATAAGCATCTGTTTCTGAGAATGCCAAAATATAGCAGTGCCTCCGATCGTGAAAATGTATCCTATTTAAGATCGAGTTTTATGTGGATCTGATAAATATTTTGCATCTGGAAAACTAACCGTTTGTCCATTTGTTTTTTTTTATTTTGCAGGATAAAATAAACATAGATCAGTACTTGAAGTTAACATAATAATATGTTCTATTCCATTCCAATGTTTTCGTGTACGTGATGAGCTGAATCTTGCCAGCAGATTAACAGTAAATAATATGTCAGGTCGCATACAATTTGCAAAGTACATAAGAGTTTCAATTGCACATTGTTACGGTACTTCAAGACCAAATATTTCTTCATTTTTCTCATGTGGTCGGAATGGATCATTTTCAGCTTTAAGTAATCAGACAACCATATGGGTATTAAGAAGAGTTGCCATATCCATGTTCAAATATTTTAACACTCTTTTGTTATGTGGATTGATGTACAAAAATACATTTTTGAGAATGCTCAATTTGTAGGCCTCATCTCAAGTTCCTCTTTCAAATAATTGGATGCCTTTGGATTTTCCCTTAAGTTCTGATAGTGTTTAGATCATCAACATATGCCTCGCTTATTACAAATCCGGATGTTGTTTTCTTGATGAAAACACATGGGCATATTAGATTATTCACGTATCCTTCTTTTGATTGATGCTCACTGAGACTATTATACTACAAACGTTCAGATTGCTTTAGTCCATATAATGATCTTTGCAACTTTAGTGTACATAACTATTTAGATTTGGAATTTAATGCTACTGGCATCTTAAATCCATCAGGAATTCTCCCACATAGATATCAATATTTAATATTCTATATAAATATATTGTCAACGACATCCATAAAATGCATCTCTAAATTTTCATCAGTTGTATGCTTCCTCATAATCTATTCAGATCTTTGAAAAAAAATATTGGGCTACAAGACGATCCTTATATCTCATAATTTCCTTTTCTCATTTTTTTCTGAACAAAAATCAATTTGCATCCAACTGGTCTCAGATATACATGTGTGAGCATAATAGGTCTGAATACGTCTCGTTTATTAAGAGAATCAATATCTACATGCGTAGCATCCTTCCACTTTATCTTGTCATGTCTCTTTTGACATTCATACATGGACTTAGGTTATTGATCTTCGTTTTTTTCATGTATTTCCTTAATCACAAGGTATGAAAAAAAGTCATAAACATCATCTATTTTATTTCGATTTCATATCTTTCCATTATGGATGTAATTGATAGAAGCCTCATGATTTTTTCCAGGTTTATGACAGCTAATTCAGTGGATTGATAAGCAATTTAAGAATCGCTTTACAACTATCAGTCGGTAAGGTGATCAGAAAATACCAAAAAATGATGTAGCTTTGGTTCTTATTTAGATAATCAAATTCTTGTTCTAAAGTAGTTTGCTTTCTTTTGATCAATTTAAATTGCAGATGCATTCATTATAAAAAAAGTATTGATTGGATTAATTTAACATTTTTATTCCAAAAACAAAAGACAATGAAAACAATGTTGATGAAAAATAATAGACTAAAGACAAATCTGCTATGTTGGATTGTGTCTCTAATCGAAACAAGGTGCGAGTCAAGAAATGAAGTCGCCAAAAAAAACAGAACATCGATAAAGATGGATTCTTCGGTTCAAGTACTAGTAACAAAGATGAGATTGTCAGCTTTAATGGTGATAGTGTAAAAAGATTAAGGTTTCGTAGAATGATAGTTTTTTTTTTATATTGTGGTAAAATGTTTTTTTTCTAATATAAAACGTAACAAGTTTTGCAAAAGGTATTTGTTTTTTAAGATGGAGAAAGTGTATTAAAAGATAAAATGTGTTAATTTGTAAAATAAAATTGAAGTAGTCGGTGTGAGAGTATTTTTTTCCAAATGAAAGGCCTCACTATTAATTTATGAAATAATTGAGGTGAAAGTATAAAATTCATGAGAATACAGTGATACCTTTGCAATGTATTCAGATCTTACCACTCCTTCCTTTGCTTGTCGGTTGTTCTTCAATCTGCTCGCTTCCGTTCATTGTAAAAAAGACTTTTAATTAGATTAATTTAACATTTTTATACAAAAAGAAGATAATGAAGATGATGCCGGTGAAAAATGATAGACTAAAGACAAATATGGTATGTCGGATTGTGTCTCTAATCAAAACAAAATGCGAGTTAAAGATTAGAGTCGTCAAGAACAAACAAACATCGACAAAGATAGATTCGTCGGTTCAAGCACTGATAACAAAGATGAGATTATCAGTTTTAATAGTGATGGTGTAAAAAGATTAAAGTTTTGTGCAATGATAAAAAAAAATTAATGTAGTAAAATATTTTTTTTAATATAAAGCATAACAAATAAAACATTTGTTATCAATAAGTTGTAAGTTTAGCAAAATTCTTGTTTTTTAGATGGAGAAAATGTATTAAAAGCTAAAATGTGTTAATTTGTAAAATGAAATAGAAATAGTGTGTGTGAGGGATGATGATCTGAACTGCTCTTATTGAGGAGAAACTAAACAAAATACCCTCCCCATAATCTATGTATCCCTTGCTCTTTTAATGAAATGTGATATCCCTATTTTAACCTTATTCTCAACTAACTAAAAATTAAAGATAATAAAAATTAGACCAATGAGAATACATTATTTTTATCCAATCAGAACACAGATCTTTCTTCTCTCTCCTCACGACATCCTCGAGATTCGCCATCGGATCCGCCATTGATGCATAGCTCGAGCTCTTAGTCCAGGATATCGCACACTGTCTTCAATCCTTACAAAGTCCAGTGAATACAGGTGTGTTTCAAGCATATCTCGTCATCTCCAATCGAGTTGTATAATTGAAAATCAATTTGGTTTTTTGAAAATTGTGAATTGAAAAAATTTGAATTGGAATCCATATCCTTAAGGAGCAGAAGTGTTGTATGCGTCGTTAAGGACAATGCATTGGTAATGAATGCATTTTATTTCCATAATCGTAGGAAACCATGATTAGATTAGAATCATCTTCGTATCAGCTCGAAAGAAAGAAAGGAGTTGTAAGAACGATAGTACAACTGGGTGTAACTGGTATTACTAAGTACGAAAGTAAAACTGGATATAACTGGTATTACTGAGTTCGAAAGTAAAACTGGGTAGAACTTGTATTACTGAGAACATAAGTATAACTGGG